CGTCCGATAATTATTCTGTCGTCGATTGTGTATTCGTTGTATGGTAACGTTTTTACTGAGCCGTTACCTAGCAACGACAGAGGTACAGGCATACAGATTGATGGGAGGGACATATGAAGCACTCCTATGAGATAGTCTCAGGTGCTATGATATATATGCCATGTTTCAAAAAGATTGGTTCAGGCATTCAAAAGTTAATAAGGGGATTCACAGACACACAGAAAACGTGGTGATCTCACAAGTACAATTTTATTTTATCAAAGTAAGGAAAGTAGGATAAAATTGAAAAGCGGTTAGATATCACGAATTATAGATTTTCAAATGGTGGAGCTATACTTCCACTCCCCCACAGGACTTAATGTGTGGTGCTTAATTAATTAAGCCCAAGGATAACTTTACAGTTTAATTTTACTAAAGTGGCTGGCTGTAGATGTAGAATCTTTGAAAACATAATTAACTCCATGGGGCTGAGCCGTTCTTGAGAACCCGCCACTTACGTAATTAAAAAAAAAATCTCAAAATTTTATGGAACCCGAAATTTCATTACCGTGTTCACAATAGCCCCCCACTGATCCCTATCTTGGGCCAGATCAATCCAGTCCATACCACCCCATCCTATCTAATATTCGTTTTAATATTACCCTCTCACCTACGTCTAGGTCTTCGTAGAGATCTCTTTCGATCTGGTTTTCCCACCAAAATTCTATATACATTCCTCTTATCCCCTATTCGTGCCCCATGCGCTTTTGAATTATACGCATTTTAATAGCATGGGAAATCACATTAAAAGAAGCTGACAGCGTGAATTTATTTGGGTTCATACAGCACCTTAACGACGCTCTTGGGGGCTCTGACGTGGCGTATGGTTTTCTCTCCACCTACGCGATTACACCTCAAAATCATATACCCATATATTCCCTCATTACGCCCATCTCTGACACCAAGTACATAAGAAAGGTGTTTCTTTTCTGCCAGCTACTGAATGCAAAATTGAGAACGGAAAGTGTCAGAACTGCCAAGTCAAATGGTGGGAATTACTGATCAATATCCCCAAAGTCATCTTCGTAGGATCGTTTACACATGTTATTGCCATGGCTTAAAACTACTGACAAAAGTCAACATTATTCGAGTTGCCTGAAGGAAGAAAGGTCCCCGGGGACTGGGGACCCTCACACGTCTCACAACCCTATGGGTCTTCACGGCCTGGTACAGGGATAGGACTACTTTACTTTTTTTACCTTGGTCTGACACATCATCGTTACGTTAGGTTTCTGCTCGTGTTTGAAAGGCAGAAGGGAACTGCAATTTATTTTCTTATCTCATTTTTGACCCGAAATTGGATAGCGCAATCGGTATAGCAGAAATATCTTCAAGTATTTTCTTTAGTATATAAATAAGAGAAACAGAAAAATTGAGTATATTAGTCAGAAATTATTTTATATCACGTAATAATTTGCTGTAGGCTGAGATGTGTTTCGCTCTCAATGCGATCATTTTCAAGTTGAACTACAGTGTCTGTTCAACGGTCTTCATCTAGAACAGGTTATGATGTACAACCTGCAGACAGAGATAATACCTGTAGCGAAGATTTAGGACTAGGCGACCGCAATTCGATTCCATGTAGATGAAGGACTTCCATTTAACTGCTCAAGTTACAAGCCTAGAATTTTTTGGAGGAATTTCGTTAAATATTACATTTAATAATACATTAAATTAAAGATGTTGCACTAGTTAATTAATTAAGCACAACGCCATAAACACAAATTGATGAGTGGAGGTACAGCTCCATCATTCTTGACCTCGGCACTATATGGAGGTAAGTGGTCAGCTTCACTGGTCAATTTATCCCAGGGGAAAGAGCCCCCCGTACCCATTAGATAGGAGGCTGGCTGGGCCCTATATCTGATCTGGACGCTTATGGAGGAGAGAAAATTCTCTTACTCCTATCGGGAAATGAACCCCGGCCTTCCAGCCGGTAGTCCTTTGTTATACCGAAGAAGCTATCACGGCATTTGTGAATTCTATGCAAAATTGTCTGTCGCTTTCAATTTCCACTTAAATTACACATGTTTAACGACAATCTTACATGAAGATCTGCATGCGGTTTTTCGCGTACGTGGCTATGCATTCGTCGAAGAGGAAATACATGTACCTGGAACCGAAACTTTAGAGAAAAATAAATACAAATCGGGTGTCCGACATTTTTTCTCCGCAAGTCTCACAGTATTTGCGATTATTAAAAGAAAGAGATATCACTGATATATTTTTGATTTCTAAATTAAAAATCAACCATTTCCTCCGGTTCACAATCGTGTTTAAAGGAAAGAATCAAAGGGAAGGTTGCGTTGAAATCGATGTTTGGACCTTCTCTTTTAGTTGTCTATTACAGTACGATTTTGATACACTTAACACACATTTAATTTATATGAGTGTATGGACGATCTGTGCACGAGGCACAAAGAACTCTCGTGGGAACTCAAGTTGACTTCCAACGGACTACACCGCTTTATATCCCAGAAGACAGAACTCTTCAAAACCATTGCTGCGATGATCTCAAATTTTACATCTATGTTTACGAATTACCCCTTTCCAATATTTTTTTATTTTGGGTGGGGAGGGGAATAACCTAAATTACAAGAAGTTCTGGGAAGAAATGTTAATTTGTTTTCCTTTCATATGACAGAAATTATAAAAGCAGGAAAACTTGCGGCTTTCAGGAATTAGGGGAAGGAAGTAGACAGACAGCCACATACAGCAAGGTGATCTCATAAACCTCCTTTTATTTTTTCAAAGTAAGAAAAGTAGTCTAACAAATATTTGAGAACGAAATACGCCGAAAATCTAGCAAGTCTATCAGGTCTACGACAGACTGGTCACGCTGCTAAGATGTGGTAACAAAGAATTTGAGAATGTTTGTGGGGAAGCCTCTTGGAAAATACGTGTACCTACTAGTAAGGCCACAAGGGAAGCAGGGGATGAAATAAAATAGATTTTGGAAAGATAGGTTGGATGCGAAAGCCACAAGGAAAGAGACAACTAGGAAGACTTAGACATAGTTGGGAAGATGATATTAAAATGGATCTTGGCGGAAAAGGATGAGGTAATATGGACTAGCTTAATCTGGCTTACGATAGGAACTGATGGTGGGCTTTTGTGAACATGATAATAAACCTTCAGGTTCTATAAGATATTAGGTAATTCTTGAGTTTCTGAGCAACTGGTGGTTTAAACTGCCACTTACTGAAGACATAAATAGGTTCAAAGTAAAAGTGAAGTTCCCGTATTGAGCGCTGTGTCACAAAGAGCGTGGGGGGGGGGAGACAGAAGTGTGCATTCTTAACTTAAAAAGTAGACTGAGGCGAAGAGTCACATTGACTCTCCGGCCTTTTTACCCCCAGCGAAGGGACTACTTTCTATCCATCGGAAAAGAGGATGAAAGGACCTCAAAACTAGGCTCTTCACGTAATCATTCATCCCTGCCCATAACAAGAAATGAACCCCGGGTTTAGGGAATAATCAGTCACTTCATGTACTGAACTACATATGGAAAATATTTAATGATCTGTAAGCAAAATTTTATGTAGAAAAAAAAACACTTTTTTTTTGTAGCTCTGTTTCGTTTTGGTTGTGTACGTTTACTTGTACGTTTCTTAGCGACCAATAGTATTCCGGCGTACACCTCGTATGTACAATTTCCAGGGTCTGAAATGAAGTCCCTAATTTAAAATGCGAGAATGTGATACTCTCAGAGCTATGGCACACCTTTTGCAGTGGAGTTAGGTGCGTACAGAACAGTGGCGGATTAACAAAGGAAAACTGAACAAATTCGGAGGCACGCTCGCGTAGGGTTCCCTTTACCCACCTTGAGTTTCACATGAAGTAATATCGGACGGATATGTGCACATTCAACGTGCTGCTAATTGCAATAGGCGGTGAGTTACAAACCCAGTGGCCCATCAACCTACACCTATCCTCATTCACTTCCAATTTCGATCTTAGTGATTGTCTTTCGGGAGATTCTGGATTCTAATATCTCATCGAAAGCGAAATATTCTGTCCAAATATTTTCATGAGTTTTCTCGGTACCACCATGGAAATACTAGAATAATACTCTAAAATGGTCCATGCCCGTTTTCTTAAATGTCCATCCCAGTATTAACATGACCATCCTCAGTTCGACGCTACACACCGAGAAAGTTGGTGTAGCGGGAACACTTTAGATTTGTACTGAGAAGATGCTTGGTTCGAATCTCGGCTAGAACATCGGCTATTCTGCCTTAAGTTTACTGGGTGCTTCCTCAGTGCCTACAGGCAAATTCCGGTATGGTACCTGGATTTGGCTACTGTAGGTTCCTTTCAGTGTCCATCCAATTTATTTTTCATTAATTATGCTACCGTTCGGCGCTACATAATCTAGATAATAAGGGCAGAGAAAAATTATAATAATAAATAAACCATTCGAATCTACTTAATCAAGTCGATATAAATGCATAAATAGCGCAAACCCAGTCAATCTATGATGGCCGACCAACGCACAACAGAAATCCCGCCCCAGCAAGAGCACTCAAGACAGCAACAACCAGCGAACCAAGCAAAACCAAAGGCAACCACGTGGAACCAACATGACTAAAATAACCAGAGGCAGCTACAATAGCAGTAAAGAAATTGTATCGCAGTGACCAGCAGAATCCTTAACCATAACCTGTACACCTGAAGATGGCCAGTTAGGCCGAAACCTTGTAGTGTCCAATAAATAAATACGAAGAAAGAATAGTGAAAGACGTTGCACTTAGACGGCACAAAACTCCTAAGCCAATTTAATTGTTTACAATCTTCACACAAATTTTCAACGATACTCAGCAGTTGATTAAATATCTTCAAATAAGATAATATAAAAATAAGTGGTTGCCCTGTATTGCCAGTTGAGCAGCGTTACATATGTCCATGTGTTCTGTAAGCACACAAAACTATTACGTAATAAAGTGTCACATGCCTCCCACCTGCCTATTCTGGATGCTGGTTGGTGCCACCCACCGGTTACAGCGTTCAGCAGTCGACTGATAGACCGACGCTTTACGTCGAGCGAGGCGTCACGACCACCACACCTCAGTTCTGCCATCTACACCCCCATGGCTAGGCGATTCATAAGCCTGCTCAAGAAGCCACGTCATAAAAAGCGAAATATCACATTTTTATTCGGAAAATACACTTGATTGCCTCCTGCAGAAGTAGGGGCATAATACGTGTTACATACCAGAATTCAAGTGTGAACCAAATGCCAACCGTTTCACTGTTCTGAAGTGCGTTAACATCGCGCGTTGCAGTCCACTTAAAATAATATAAATAATTACTTAAAACCCATTAAAATTTTCTATTAAATTTTTTGTAAAATCCTATTCCACCTCATAAGAGGTACTTGTTTACAGTTATGTGTTTATTCAGAAAGTTTGTTTCAGCAGTTTGTGTTCCTGTTCATTTGCCCGTTGTTTTGCTACGTCTGCAATGTGCCTTATCCTTTTCGGTTGTTCCCTCTAGCAGCGTGTGTTACTGTCTTCAATAGCGAAGAAAAATTTTAATGGATTTTAAGTGGACTGCAACGCGCGATGTTAACGCACTTCAGAACAGTGTAACAGTTTGGAGGCATTAAAACACCTGAAGATGGCCATCTATGGCCAAAATATATTGTGTTGATTGTTAAATGGTGAATAAGACAATTTATAGACGGACTGTGAATACATAGACGTTTGATATAGTGAAGTATTAACCCCATGAAAGTGTATAACGGTCCTTAACGATAGGTACTGTATAAACCGTATGAAAATATACATCGGTGCATAAGATTTAGTAACATATGTCTCAGAGAAACTCATAACTTTGGTTGAAACATCTTTCAACAGAATGTAAGTTTAAAAAAGTGCAAAGCATATAATGGTGATGTAAGTTTTGAGGTTTTCACGGCGATGACAATGAAGAAAGTCGTCTTCTGGGTTTAGGCACCGTGCCTAAACCCAGGAGACGACTTTCTTCAAATAATGCTGAGTTTACGCAATATATATATAATACTATTTCTTTTTCAACAGTAGATTTTTAGTCTACTTTCTTAAGTAGGCTTATGTGATCTCCTTCACGTCTGTGTCTCTGTATATCCCCGCCCCCCATACACTTTTGAATTCCTGAACCAGTCTTTATGAAACTTGATATGTATATCTTGACATCTGAGACCATCTCAACGACGTACTTCATAAATCCCGCCCATCAGTCTGTGTCCTGTATGTGTATGTCGCTGATATTTTCAATTTCCAAAACCCTAAGTTCATCCACTCCTTCGCTGTGGCAGTCATCACAGGCATGTCGGGATAATTTTGAACATTTTCCCAAGGTCCTGCAGGAAAGACTGAGGGGAAAGTACAGAAATTCTTTTCTAAATACAAAACCGCTCTTCCTACTGATCCAAAACATAAGTATACTTCATACTACAGAAAACCTCCGCATGTATAAGGCTTCACACCAAGCTTCACACACCTGACATTCCTCTGAGGGCTATAGTGAGTTCTATTTGTTCCCACTGCTAGGCCCTGGTTGGTTTTCTCCATAAGATATCGAGTCACCTTGCCGGAAAGTCGGAATCCTTCGTAAAGAGTTCGGGTCACTTCATACAGCTGTTTAAGTCTGTAAACCTTCAATCTCGTGATACTCTCGTTAGCTTTGATGTTGTCAGTCTTTTCTCTAACGTACCAGTCGTCGAAGCCCTAAAAGTCCTGAGAAATAAGCCCCATAACGATGCCACATCGGCGGAACTGTCTCTCTTGCAAGTCAACGCCATCATGGAACTGCTAGAAGTTTGTTTAGGGTGGATAATAAGTTCTTCCAACAGAAAGTGACATGGCTATGGGAAGCTGTTTATCACCTATCGTTAGCAACATCCACATGGTGCAGTCTGAGAACTGGCTCTGGAACGCACAACAGAAGCCATCGCTGTGGTTCCGGTATATGAATGACAATTTTGTGGTCTGGTCGGCGCATTAGGCTGTACAGCCTCACCGTCATTTCTGAGATGATAGTCTAGAAAATGTAGAAGCCTCAACGTCTCACAGCCTTATGGGCCTCCACGGCCCGTTACAGGGATAGCTTTACCTTCACACACACACACACAAACACGCGTATATATATAGTGATCCTGTCTTTTGTAGTATGTCTACATACCACCTCTGATTTAACTTGTTTGTATCTTGTTCTCTTTATCGTATTTCTTCAGTTGGTATTTTATGTCGTAGAATTAATTTCATTGGCGATCTGAAAGAAGTATTTGTCGTCATATCTCAGTACTCAATTTTCACTACCAGACATAAAATCGGCCTGGGTTTCCTGTACTTAAACCTTTCAATGTTGTTACCTATGTCCGCTTCCCTGGACATTTCTTTCCTTCAAGGGATGTTTTACTCATCCTTTGTGAAATGTGGAGCTGAAGGAGGTTCCGAATTTGTCTTGCACACGCACGCACGCACCACACCGACACGCTTAGCTTAATATCGTGTCTTGCGCTGGAAAGAAGTGACGTTAGACACGTGCCTCACGTTATATCCCCCATTACATATGTCTTACACTACGCTGCGTTGTATCACGTCATACCCTTTCTCAAAATCACAGTGACTTGTAATTATATGCTTTGGTTTGGAAAATCTGAAGCTAGAATTAGCAAGCATCGGGAGTGTGTACATATGTGAACGGCTAAGTTAGCACGGCGAATGACAGTGAACATCTATCAACAAGAAACATTAGTCTAACTTCCATCCTTAGTCCAATAAGAAAACGGCCTCAAGTTGATCAGCATGTCCTTTGCAATATCATCTCCAGTGAAGTTCTTCTGTATTACAAGAAACTGATAGAAAACCTGAAGGAAATAAACCACTTGGATGATCTGGGTGCAGAAAGGATGATAATATTGAAATTCACCTTAAACAATTAGGGTGTCGGGGCTAGATTCATTTGGCTCAGGTTATGGATCAATGACGCCACTTTTGTAAACACGATCAAGAAGCTCTGGTTTCCAATAAACGCCTGGAATTTAGTGAGTAGTTCAGTATCCATTAGCTTCTCAAGACTGACTCTGCTCTGTGGAGTTAATTTGTTAATACTTATTATTTTGAAGTCATGTCGTTAGTTAAATACAAGTTGCATGACTGCAAACAGACCATCACTTCTCGTTTATTTCTCAATGCTGTGACCACGAAAGGAAATACTACAGTTGCTATTGTTCTGACTTTTTAACTGACTTTGTGAATCTTATTTAAACAAGTTTTCCTATTCAAAACTTGTAACAGAGGACGGAGAAAGTCAGTTACAGGAAGAGGGACCTTGTACTGTAATTTATACGCTTCACGAAATATAAGCAGGGAGATCAATTCAAGAAGAATGAGATATGAGATAAGCAGACCATGTACTACTCACTGGGGAGGTGAGAGATTCGTGCAAAATTTAGTCAGAACACTTGAAGTTACGAATTTTACTTAGGAGGAATACACTAGTTGAGAGATATCTGAGCTAAATTAAATAGAGTGTAAGGTTGTGGAATGAATTCATCTGGCTCAGGACAAAGTCCAGTTTAGGAACTAATGGGAAAAATGCTACAAAAGTTGTAAAACATATTATGTCTATTCAAGATTCCTGCCCACTTATTTTAATTTGGAGCTGTGTGCCAGAGTGCTGCAGCTCTTTACTTTTGGGGCTATATCCATGCCTGTTTCTGACTCTGATATTTTATGTTCAGGGGTTGCAACATTGAAGTTATGAACAAGCATGACAGTCATTTTTATCATTTACATGAGATTTGTTAATACAGGGATAATTATTTATTTCAGAGAATTCAAACCATCAAATGTCACTCCTGTTTATTTGCAACCTCATCAAGAGAAGACTAATGTCAGATAGCAGAAAGTAACAGCATTTAGAAGATTCTTGAATCCCACATTGCCGTGAAGATGAGCCATCTGTGACACAGAGATCTTAATTGAAGACAGGATATTATTTTAACACTTTACCATCTTGCCTGTGCCAATTCGTTATGAGAAACTGTAATGAACTGTTCTTCTTAAGATGCCAAAACTGTGTGCTGATTTCTGCTCTCCGTGATGTGTTACAATAAAAGGGATGTGTACATTGTGAATGTGTACCAGAATGAAAATATTATTGTAGATCCATAGAAAGAAGCAGGTATACCATGTGAGTTGGAGTTACAAATTTACAATTACAGTAAATTCCTGTTTGTCTAGTATCCAGGCATCCAGGATTTTCATTCAGCTGGCAAACATTTCTTAGAAAATTATAAAGTCATTAAAAAAAATATGAGTGTATTTTCACTCACTATACAATAGTCCTCCCAGCTTCCACTAGCAGCACTACCCATTATGCTGATGCCATTTCAGCAGAGGCTAGTTGAATTTGTTATCTTGTGAATTCAAAATCTTTCACCTGTCAATGTGCAGTATTCTATGGGAATAGTACATGCAAGAATGTGATATTTTGATTATTAATTAGGTTTCTGCAAGAACTTTTCTCATGAAAACAGCAGATTCATGTAACTGGCAGACCCCATTCTCTATACATGGCAAGTAATTGTGGTTTACTGTACTAATTAATAGGATAAATTCATCTTCAATATAAATGACAACATAAATCAAGATCTTGTAATTTCATTTTTAGTGCCAAATTTACACCTGTTGAACCATTCATAAGTTTCTTAGCAAATATGTTAAGAAACCACTGATCACTCATGTGGCTGTGTGGAAACAGCTCTATTTAAATCAGTAGTGTACTGAGACATATCAAAAAAGTGGTATGTCACAAACAATCATGGAAAAAATTCTTAGTGAACCATTAATGAATTGTGTGCCTGTGTATAAACAGCTCCATTTACATCAGTGGTTCACTAAGATGTGGCACAAAAGTGGCACAACACAAATTAACATGGAAAAAGACATTTAGCCTTTTGTACCGTGTTGAGGTAAGCTATTCTTAATTCCCTGGCTGCATTACTGTAGTTGAAAGAGGCATCTCTTAAGAATTTGTAAGATTTGTAATTCTTTGTTAAATTGGTAAATTCTCTGAAGCTCTTATTACAGCAGAAAGTGGCTTATCTTCCTCTTTGTTCTGTAATACATGAGTGTGAACAAATTTGTTCACACTCATGTCAAATTCATTTGGAAAATGAAATGGATACTGACAGACACTGAACCATATCGGCGACTTTGAGTATTGTTGTTTGCTACAGAAGGAATGTTACTGTAAAACTGCTGAAAAATCCTATAATTTTGTCCTTCTCAAACTGTTTCGTGTTGTAACACAAATGGATATTGCTTTATTCACCAGGATAAAATGCAGGAAAATCTGCCATTTTATGTTTTCTGCAGTTTTGTAAAATATGAATATACAGCTGCTTCAGCAGTAGGATTTTTCAGAAAAATAATTTTATTTTCATATTGAATAATACCACAACATATTAAGGACATATTGAGTGACACTAAGAGTTTTGAGGTACAAATAAAACAATTTTTATACTTACATTCTTTTTATTCTTTACAGGAATATTTTGGTTATAAATCTTTTTAAGGTGCGACTAGTTGTCTTGCTTTACAATTAAAAGAAGACAAGGTTGACAGTCTGTGTTATGATTTTTAGATGCTTATTTTAGATATACACAATTCTTATATTACTGTATACCAGTCTTTATTTCAATTTATTATATAATTAATATATGTTATACAAACTCATTAATGACATTATGTTTTAACTACTGAATTTTTAATTAATAGACTTGCATAAAACTGTACAAATTGTATAAGGTTTGCCATTACTTTTACTACTAAAATTAACTTATTTATTATATTGTATATGTTTATCAGTATTTTATGCAAATGTGTATGCTATTGGATGACAACTGTAATCCTTAGTTGTGACTCTAACTAGGATGAGGTCCACATCCGCATGAGAATGTACTCTCAAAAGGATTTATGGGAGGTGAATAAATGAAATGAAATGAAATAAAAGTTTCTGCTGATATCAGATATGCCCATACAATATACATTATTTGACACACACTCCTTTTCCTCTGTTCTGCCCATATTTTTTAAGTTAAGAATGCAGAGATATTGTACAGATGGATATTGATTCTTCGCTACAAAATGCATGAGTCTTGAAGACCCACAAACCTATGGGCCTACACAGCCTGTTAATGCGATAGCTTTCCCTTTCTTTTTCCCTTCTTTATCAGTACAGCCTATCCAAGTTTCCATCGTTCTTAACCTAGAAAGATACTCCACCTCAGTCATGTAGCCTGAGCCGAGCCTAGCTAGCAATAATGTGAGATGTTCAGTCTGACTTGATCCAGCTCTGAACTGGACAGCCAGGGCATTCTGCCACCATGGGCCTTGCCTAGGATAGCTAAGCCAGACTAGCAGGAGACCTAGCTAAGGCAAGAGAAAAGCCTAATTTTTCCATGTTTACAGGCTTAAATAGCCCATTACTCCCATCCTTCACCCGCAGCAAGCAAGCCAAAATTTATCCAGCCTGAGAACAGTCTAACTATCAGAGAATTTAGGTTCTGATGGGGACTTGAAGTGGCTAGATTAAGGACTGTGGAACAAGCATACATATTCCTGAAGAATAACCTAGCCTGGTCATTGCTGCACATGACAACTAGCCTGAAAATAGCTTAGATAGGCAGGCTAGTCAGCTGAGATCTAATGTATCTTAGCAATAAACAAAACCAATTCAAAACCTGCCTCCATCTGAAGATAGTGTCATAATCCCGACGACAGATGTCACGAAAGGCCAATCGTCAAACCACGTGTTCATATCGACCAGTCATAATCGCTGTACGCGGAGCAGAATTTGGGCCAATGACAACACAGTTCGCTTCAAGCAGCAAAAGTGGGATGGAGAGGTAAGCGTTCTAAGTGCTACTTATAATTTTCATTTCGTGCATCCTGCTGTGGTACAATATATACATCTTATTTATTGGGCCGTCACAACACAACAATCAAAGAACTTCAGGGACAAAAAGTCCGATACAGTATCGTGAATCATTTAAGACACTTATAATAAGAATATAAAATATAGGTTATTCAAAACCAATAAAAGTCTTATATAAAAACAAAATTAAATCCTGATTGATGTTTTATAACATCGAATCAGTCGTTGGTTCCACCTCTCATACGTATCCGTCGACAAATAGAAAATTACGATGTTTCATTTAAAATTGTAAAGGAGGCTCAGTAATTAATGTAGTGAACTGTATCTGGGCGTTGTCCCTGAAGTTCTTTGATTGCTGTGTTGTGACGGCCCAATAAATAAGTTGTATATAAGTTGTATGCCATTATGGGATCATATTGGAGATAGAGGGAAGGACTTCTTAGAAATGTTATGCAGGTTTATATGATTCGTTATTTGTTAAAGGAAAGATTAATATTATTACAGGTACTTACGAAACAGCACTTCCCAGTATATATTAGTTTGTATATGTCTCATGAAATTTCGCGTTGTAGGAGAGTTTAAAAGTAGATACAAATTTTGTGTTAAACACTTTTCGGTATTGATAAGTATGAGCTCGGTCATAGTGAACTGTAAGTAATGAAGCTTCACTGTTTCAATTACTTTCTTTGCAAAGAATTTTGCAGTATGAAAGTTTGTGTTGACTCCCATCAATTCTCCATGCCTTGCATAGTCTTTTGAGTGGCTTGTAGCCATATATTATTAATTGTTGATCAGAATGTTAATACTGTTTTTGTAATGATGGAACTGATACATAACTCAGTCCCTGGGGAAGATCAGCATTTTCATTTTATGAGCTGATTGTCCTTGACGTTTTTTTATTGTTCTTAAATATTCTTGTTCCATTTTGTTTCTGGTTCTTCTAGAACCAATATTTGGTCCCACTAATAATCTAATCTAGATAATTGCATTTTATAAACGCTGTTTGTGAAACAGTGAAAATTACAAATGTGGCTATGGGTGTCATGGTGTTTTGCTTGTAGTACCTGAAATGTAGAGGATAGAATTATATAATTATTGACTGGGAATTTTTGGTTGGACAGGAGTTTGGAAATGGAAAATAAGCATAAGTTCTTCCATGAAATTTTTGATATATAAGTAGTGCAGTATTGTATGGCTGGCATTTGTAAGGGATTGGAAATTAATTTCCCATTTTTAAGGAGCTGAAGTCTACTTATATATATTTTACAGTGTTCAATCTTTGAACAAAATTTACATAGTGTATGAGTATTATTAGGTCCTTTTCTTTAGGCCAGCATGTATACCAGCAAATACTTGATCCGTATTGACAAGCTTGTGAAAAGTCTCACACATTTACCAATGCACTGTATTTTTCAATCTTGAAGGAAAAATTGAACCTGAGAGTACCAGCAAACATGTTTGTGTGTGTGTGTGTGTGTGTATGGGGGGGAGTGCCGAGTATTATCATGCAGGAATGTTATGTAACCATAAATGTTTTGTGTCATTGTAAGCCACATAGAAGTTTTATATTTTGTTGAAATTAAAAGTGGATCAAGTTTGAAATCGTACATACAGATTCGCATGCAAATCAGAATCTGTTTTTTAATGTTATTCATGTAATTGTTTCAGGCCTGCGACTCACCAGCACAAGACCCCAAGTGACTCGTCTGCCATAAGAGGAAGGAGTTCTTGCTGTACAGTCATAATGAGCAAGTTACAGCATTTCTCTGACATCCATTATGCTGTATTGTCATCCATGCATGGTTCTTTCAGATAGCCTTTTCTCTTGCTGCTATGCCACCAGAATCTGTGCATGTCAAGACTGAAGTGAAAATCTGTGCATGTCAAGACTGAAGTGAAAATCAGTGCATGTCAGGACCTAAGTGAAAATCAGGGCATGTCAGGACTGAAGTGAAAATGTGTGCATGTCAAGACCAAAACATGACATGAAGATACTATTACAGTATTACAGGAAGAAATGTCAGTTTGATGTGTGTGACTATGCCAGACTGATATTTATTTGTCCAACAAACTGCCTCTCTTGCTTTACTATGTTTGCATGCAGGAGGGTAACGCATATGCATGATATCATCCGACTTTGTGTCTTGCTTTGATGCCGTGGATGTGCAACATCAGTAACTTTTCACTTGCTTTTCTTTATTGACGCTACATGTTTCGGCCCACCCAGCCATCTTCAGGTGTACAGGTTGTTGTGATTGCAGAATCTGTTGCTCACTGTGATGCTGTTTTGTTTCTGTTATGTGGAGGCCTCAGGTTGCATCTGGTTATGTGGGTTAGTCATCTGTTTTTTTTTTTTATTTAGGTGTCCTTGAGCTGCTGGTGTTTTCTTCATGGTTTTGTTTGGCTGTGGTTGTCTTGAATGTTCTTGCTGGGGCAGGAATTTGTTGTGTTGATGGCCAACCACAGCACAACAAATATGCTCAGCTCAAGGACACCTAAACAAAAGACAGACAGTTAACCCACATAACCAGATGCAATCCGAGGCCTCTACATAACAAACAGAACAGCATTACAGTGAGCAGGAGGTTCCTTGATCACAACAACCTGTACACATGTGGTGACGACAAAGAGAAAACTGTGAGAGAATGTAACTGATCTTTCACGCAGTCGGCATCAAAGCAAACCACAAAGTTAGATCTAAGCAGTGCAGCAGGATGCTGCAATGTAACATTATGACTGATATCAGTTTTTATGTAAAATTCATTCATGGTCTTCTGGCTTATGACATGGTTACCAAGGTTTTCTGCTGGTCTGTTGAAGCCAGGGGCAGTATGTTCTCTGGTAACCATCTGCCAGGCAACACAGTGTCATAACTTAGGAGACCAGAATAGATTTTTCACCATTGTGAAAGATTAAAATCTGATACTGTGTAAAATTGTTTGTATATTCAAATCTGGTGGATACTGTAAGGAAGTAATCACTAAACCATAGTAGTTCTGTTTTTCCTTATAAAGGAAAGAACTTGAGAGGTAAAGCTATCCCTATAAGAGGCTATGGAGTCCCCTAGGGTTGTCAGACGTTGAGGCTCCCACATTTTCTCTAGGCAGTCAGCTCACAAGTGGCGGGAAGGTTGTCAGCCTTACGTGCCGGCCACCCTTAACCCCCCACCCCCATGAAGACTGTTGGTACTCATTTCTGTTAGAGGCCAATAACAGACATTGCACAGTGTAGGTAAAAGTAATTGCATATGGACAAACATAACATAAAGTCAAAGACTAATTAAATGTAAGCACTGGAGCCAAGACACATTAATGCAAGCCATGTAATTAATAATTCAATTCAATTCATGTTTATTTATGTGGAACTTAACAGCACAGAGGCCAATTACAAAGTTAGCATCAGTACCTAGACACAAAAATAATTGAAGAACAAAATATGACACTCTATACAAGGGCAATAAATTAATAATTACAAGAAAAACTATAAAGTTAGCAGTGACAGGAGAAAAAATTGAATATGTAAATTTCCAATGGTTATGCGATCTTGTATAGTAATAATAATAATAATAATTCAGTTCATGTTTATTTGTGTGCAAGCTTAACAGCACAGGGGCCAATTACAAAGTTGGCATGAGTACATAGAAATAAACAAAATACGAAATAAGACGGTATATATAATGGCAATAAATTAATAATAAGTACATTTTGGATGCTTATGCTGTTATGTTGCGAGAAAGGACAATGACCATACATACACACATAGAAGTTAATAATAATAATAATTCAATTCAATTCTTTATTTATTTACGTGCCGAGCTCAACAGCGGAGGCCAATTACAGAGTCAGCACGGAAAATATAAAACAACAAACAACAGACAATAATAAAAATCAAGACAATACACACATAGATAATAACAGGTCAAAAACGTTAAGTATTTGGAAAATTAAAAACAATTAACAGCAAAAAACTAATTACATACTTAGCTCAAAAGCCAGTGACAAGTTAAAAAGACAGTGCAAATAGTAAAAAACAACCAAAAGTACAAAAATTATCAAACTAAACAATTCAAACTTAAACTAGATTTACTAAAAATGTCTACAAGTTCGCAAACAAAATTTGCAGCAACAACACATCTAGCTGTGGGACAGCGACTGAAAGAACAGCTAAATGTAGAAAAATTTCGAATGTTCCGAGAAGGAACCCGCAAACCGACCGCATCAAGGACAGAGGAGCAATATGTTGTGCCTCTAAAAACATTTATTAAAAACAAAGCATCAATATGACGCCGTCTGACATCCAAGGTTTGCAGATTTAGTTTATCCAAAATACTAAAATAATGATAATCTATATCTTTAAAAAATCTATTATGACAGAGAGCTGCAAATTTTCTTTGTATACGCTCAAGTTTGCTGGAGTCAGTATTCGTTATCGAATTCCAAACAACAGAAGCGTACTCCAGTTTGGATCTGATTAAAGCAGTATACAGCATCAAAAGACTGTCTAAGGTAGAGAAGGAAAACGTAATGGTGCGAATTAATCCTAGTAATTTCATAGTTTGTGAAAATAAAATATCTACATGTTGATGAAAGTGAAGCTTTGAATCGATAAGTACTCCAAGATCCTTAATACTATCAGTTCGCAAAATAAAAAAATTTCCGAGTCTGTATTGATATTTCAAAACAGTAGTTTTCCTGGAAAAGGAAATAACATTGGTTTTACTAAGGTTCGGTTTCATTAAGTTTACCGAACACCAATCTTGTACCCGTTCAATATCCGACTGTAGAAGAAGACAGTCATTAAGTGTTTTGATAGCTCTATAAACTTTAAAATCATCAGCAAAAAGTAAACAACTGGAGTGATTAATGACTTCAGGCAAATCATTAATAAAAATATTAAAAAGCAGAGGCCCTAAAACAGAACCTTGAGGAACGCCAGAAAGAACAATAAAAGGAGTAGAAAATAGGCCTAAAAAACGAACACAAGACTCTCTGTCTGTTAAATAACTGCGTAACCAGTTTACATAACCAGAAGATAATCCATAATTGTTGAGCTTATAAAGAAGCAAGGTATGGGATACAGTATCAAATGCATTACTAAAATCAAAATAAATAGAGTCAACTTGGCCTTGCGTACAAACTAAGGGGGAAACAAAGTCGAGAAAAGTGACTAAATTAGTAGTGGTAGATTTAGATTTTATAAAACCATGCTGAAAAGGGCTAAGTTTAGATTTAAAAAATTGATAAATGTGGTCATGTATAATAAATTCAAATACTTTAGAAAAATTGTTAAGAATAGCAATAGGCCTATAATTTCTAACTGAAGAAGTTTTACCTTTTTTAAAAACGGGAACAATGATTGCTTGCTTCCACAATTTGGGGAAAGAATTCTGAGACAGGCTAAGATTAAAGATATATCTAAGTACAGGTACTAAAATTTCAGAACAGCCCTTAATGACAAAATTCGGTATACCATCAGTACCAACCGATTTCGTCGGTCGCAGCCGTTTTATAGCGTTTTGTACATCACGATTGGAAATATAAGCTAAGGGTAAATTATCCGTACAAAGTTTATCAAGAGAAAGTGTGTCAATACCAAGAGTACTTCTATTAAAAACCGACTGAAAGTGTTTAGAAAAGGACTCAACAATATCGTGAGGTTCATTTAAAAGAACACCATCATCATCAAGATAAGTTAAATCATTATACTTTTTCCTATGTTGAGACACATACTTCCAAAATTGTTGCGGATTAGATTTTAAATTTTGGTCGACAGATAAGAGCCAAAGATGTTTATCGGACTTTATTGTTCTTTTTACTAGTTTCCGATAAAAAGAAAATCTATCATATAAACGATCAGTCTTGTGCTTCTTGTAGCGTCTATAAAAATAATTCTTCCTTTTAACATAAGCTATAAGCCTACCAGAAAACCAGATAGGGTATTTACGCTTCTTAACCCAACCAGAAGGAACAGCTAGGTTAATGGCTTGCATTACAGCAATATTTAGTTGATCAACGGCAGCATCAACAGACGTTTCATTGTACAGCGCAGACCAATCATAGGTGAATAGGGCATTATAAAGTAATGCATAGTCCCCTGCAGAATATAATTTACAAGGAGTACTAAAATTTTGGTTACTTTGCCGAAGTGGAATTTTACAATCAATAATAAAAGGGGGGTGAAAAGGGTCAGGATGAACAAGTCCTTGATCAACAGAAATCAATGAAAAGTTACCAAAATTCGAAAATACAAGATCAAGCAAATTAAGTCCATTAACCGGATGATTATATTGACTAAAACCAAGATAACAAACGGCTGAGTAAATCACATCTCCACGAAGTTTGGTATAAAAATGACTGGTTGGTGAAGGAAAACCATTATCCCAATCATAGCCAGGAACATTAAAATCACCAAGCAAAAGTACCCGATAATTTAAAGTATCTAAAGAATTTTCTAAAAAATTGAAATAATTATTAATAATATCAACCTTAATATCAGGTGCAAAATAGTGATTGCCAATGAGCAAGTTACGGCCATCAGATAATGTAGCCTCAACCCAAACAGATTCGTGAAAAAATTCAAGGTCGGGTCTGCGTTTGATGCCGAAAACAGTGTCTGAAACAGCCGTCAAAACACCACCACCACGCAACTTGTCAATGCAGTCTCTATCAGAACGATATACAGTATACGTTCCAGGAAAAAAATCTTGAGTGGAAAAAGATTCATTTAACCACGTTTCAGTTAAACATATAATTTCATAATCAAAGGAGCACACAGTGTTAAATATTTCAGTAGATTTGGTGCGAAGACCTCTTACATTTTGATAAAAAATTTCTAAATTGCCATTGCCCACGCGTAAACTACCACAATGAGGGGTAAAGGGGGAGGCAGCCATTACATATTACTTCCGTAGCTGCCTCCACTAGCCTCCTCACCTATTAAGATCATGTCATTATTGTTGATGGTCCGGGAGGGCGGAGAGGTGACTGGACTGCCTAGATCCACCTGACTACAAGCCTTAGAAATTGATCGGCCACCAGTAACAGGGGTACTGGGGGAGTACATCTGATCAGGTTTAAGTTTACCGTAAAAGGGGGCAATCAAGCACCCTGTAGGCCAAACACCAGTATTATTGATAAGTGGAAATTCATCTTCAAGAACTAAAACATGATAAGAAGAATAAGTATTAAATTTAGTTTTCAGTCTGGTGCAAATCAATTTCTTTAAGCTCAATTGCTCCTTTAAAGACTTTTCAACGTCAGCAGCTGAAACCTCTGGACAGAATCTGGAAACAAAGAGAGCTTTGGTTCTTTCTTTTTTAACAACAATAGGCAAGGACGCAGAGTTTCGTACCCCTATAAGGGGTTGACGTCTAGGTTTGATTGTATTATTCACAGAGACTGCGATAGGTTTCTTTTTACGGACAACAGGCACAAATCCCTCGGAATCCGTTGGCACATCTGGTTTAGAAGGCAGGCCAGCTGACGCGACATCCCTATAGGACAAAACTACAGCATCAGCAGAACTACTAGTAGCAGGAACTGATGACTTAGCAAGCACTGGAAAAGCACCAGTAGACACTGTACATTCACTAGGCATAGACCTGGACACAGGCTGTGAGGACATTGACCCTGTAGTAGCGTAATTTACGTTCATAGGCGGATTTACCATTAACTCCTTAAATTTTTTTAATTCCAATTTTAAGGAGGAATTATCATGTTTTAAATGAGTCACATCATCATTAAGTTTGTGCACCAAGTCTAAAAGTGTTTTTAAAATATCAACCGCGCTCTGACTATTAAGGCGGATCGTCTCTAATAGGACCATCGACGCCTCATATTTGCCATCCTCAAAAATAGGAGGCAATTCCAGTACCCTGTCCGGAGAGATAATTTTCAAAGGCGAAACAGCCTCAGAGATCTCAGTGGCAGCAGACCGAGTCTTCACAGGAGTATCATCACGTCTCAAGGATCTAAGATTCTTAATGCAGGACGTGCACTTGTAGGTTGATTCCCCATTCACCATAAGGCAACTATACTCAGCTTCACTGATATTGACACAGCTGAGATGGTATCTAACAGCACAAGGCCCTACACACTTGATGAACTTTTGCTTTCCGTAGAAGCCCTTACTACACAGGCCACAAATATCTTTGCTCGCAGGCATAGTAGCCTGTTCGCTAGAGTTCACTACACAAACACACACTGCACCGCACAGAGGGAGCTCACGCAAAACACGTCTGCTCGCAACGAGCGTTGTTGACATAATAATAATAATAATAATAGTAACCCAAGTGGTTGGTTGCTGGCTTCCCACCGTGGAGGCCCGAGTTCGAGCCAGGGTCTGGTTAAGTGGGATTTGTGGTGGAGAAAGTGGCGCTGGGCAGGTTTTATCTGAGTATTTCAGTTTCCCCAGCGAATCTTCATTCCACCAAATTCTCCATCATAATCACCAAGGGCAGGCTACAATAGGCCAGTCAGTGGCCGCTGTGCTGAGTGGACCCAGTTGGACTCCACCCCCCACTAAGTGAATTTAATTTAAATTTTACCTACATACATGCACACATAATATTAGGAGTATTATCAAATATTAACAATTTTAGGTTCAATGTGATTGACAGAAACTGTTCCGATTGCAAATTTGTCGAGATCTTTACCCACTGTGTTGGCAGCATAAGTGCATCCAACAGAAGAACAGTGTTTATTAGAGGGACAAACACCAAACAATGAGAAGTCCCTAAGATTGCTGGGAGGAACACGAAGGCTAACATTTTCCAAAAGAGAAGTGCAGGATTTAAGACAAATGACCTGAACAAAAAGAAGTGCATCAAGGTGATGTCTCCATTTATGTCAAGAACGTAGACTTAATTTCTCTAAAGCATCAGTATAAGTATATGGAATATGAGGGAAAAAAACGATAAAGACAGACAGACGCAAACTTCTGCTGGATGCGCTTAAGCTTATTGGCATCAGTCGAGGTGATGGATATGCAAACTACCAAGGCATATTCCAACTTGGACGTGACTAAAGTAAAGTATAGTACACACAGACACTCCAGGGAGTAAAAACTGTAGATAATGGAGCGAATAAGGCCTAAAAGCTTTATGCATTCAGAAAATATGTAATTAACATGTGTGTGAAAATGTAGCTTTGAATCCAAGAAAACACCCAGGCCATTAATACTGCTGGTGCGTGTAATGATAGCATGATAAAGCTGATATTCGTAGCTCAGAAAATTTAGCATTTTCTGTGACAGAACTGTGTCTATATTCCCATTGTTGTATGTTGCAGTTCTTGCAGGCAACAATCATTTTGATGGAGTGTGATATGGGAGTTCCATAATGAAACTTATCTAAAGCATTATATCAGCTTCCACTTTGGTTGGTCTGAATCTCTTTCCTGTATGTCTTACAGAAGTGTTAGAAGTTACAAACGTTTGGTAAAGTTTTTGTGTATATGTAAAATGGACTCTGTATGCTTGCAGCTTACCTCTCTTTTGCTAGTTTCTATCGAATAAAGTACAGCCAATGATATCTCTTTCCCAAAACTCATCCTGTAAACTGTGGCTCTCATATCTGCATACAGTATCAGCATGTGGCAATTTGGATTAATTGACAGTCGGCTTTTCTAAACACCTGGTAACTTGAAAAACTGTTGTCTTCTTAGATGTGAGGCCATGTAGACTTGTAGAATGTTAGCACCAATTTGGAGAAACATGTAAAATGAAAAGACCCTGAAGATGGAGACCTCACATTCCTCAGAAATGTTGGTAACATTCTACCAGACTACATGGTGTCACATCCCAGAAGACTGAAATCTTCATGGTTACAGCCATATTCCTATGGAAGATCTTAGCTGAAGACTANGTGTCTATATTCCCATTGTTGTATGTTGCAGTTCTTGCAGGCAACAATCATTTTGATGGAGTGTGATATGGGAGTTCCATAATGAAACTTATCTAAAGCATTATATCAGCTTCCACTTTGGTTGGTCTGAATCTCTTTCCTGTATGTCTTACAGAAGTGTTAGAAGTTACAAACGTTTGGTAAAGTTTTTGTGTATATGTAAAATGGACTCTGTATGCTTGCAGCTTACCTCTCTTTTGCTAGTTTCTATCGAATAAAGTACAGCCAATGATATCTCTTTCCCAAAACTCATCCTGTAAACTGTGGCTCTCATATCTGCATACAGTATCAGCATGTGGCAATTTGGATTAATTGACAGTCGGCTTTTCTAAACACCTGGTAACTTGAAAAACTGTTGTCTTCTTAGATGTGAGGCCATGTAGACTTGTAGAATGTTAGCACCAATTTGGAGAAACATGTAAAATGAAAAGACCCTGAAGATGGAGACCTCACATTCCTCAGAAATGTTGGTAACATTCTACCAGACTACATGGTGTCACATCCCAGAAGACTGAAATCTTCATGGTTACAGCCATATTCCTATGGAAGATCTTAGCTGAAGACTAGTTCGCTTAGAGAGCATACATTGTAATTGCACATACAGGGAATACAGGAATACACAGTCATGAGTAGATAATAGTTGGTTTTGGTTTGACATGGGAGTTAGGTGTAGGAATTTAGAACTGAGAGTTGCGTGTTCTGCGTTTGTCGATACTTCTGAATTTCATGTTGGTAGTGAGGAGGCTATGGCTGGTACTTGGAATGAAGAGTACAGCATTCTGAGTTGTAGCAATGTGTAGTTCGGAGAGAGCCCCTCATTTTGGAGGTGACATATTCTTCCTAAACATTGGGCCATCTCCAAACTACACGTTGCTGCAACACAGGACCCTGAACTCCTTAAGTTACTGTCTGATTGCAGAGGTAATTATAAATATAAATTGGATAGGAACTGCTGCAGTTTTGGGGGTTGGTGGGGAGATGTTAAGGTATTTTTCTAATTGGCACAGTTAGAAATTTCTTGGCAGCTAATTCCTCAATAATCTGAGAAGCCATAGAGAATAGGTTAGGCTTTGTATTGATGTAGAATTCTGTAATACAAGTTTATGGAAGTATGACTGCCATAACTTGGCTCTGGTAAAGACAGATGTGTTGCAGCATAGTGAAAGCAATATGAATCACTTCGTTGAATTGTAACGTAATCCATAGAATGTTTGACAGTTTAGGACTTACACTGTTGCAAGATATTTTACATTTCTTTTATTCAAAAATTATATACACTGAAGCAAATATAAACATTCTGATGTATGTGAGACTATTTGGATCCTTCTGGGTGGGATATTTGTAATATATTTTAATAAATACTCTTCAGAGCCGATTATGTTTTAGGAAAACCTGTTACGTGTACACCCTAAGGATGTCTGTACAGATACAGATGACACGTATATGGGGAAATAAGAATTTTAGACACCTTGTCAAGGGTTTTACTTGGTAGATCCATACAGGTCAGTCAACTCCTCTAATATAGGAGAGATCTGCTAGGAGCCTTGTGTTGTCACAGATCAATATGGGCAGAACATTAATGTCCTGAACAGAGTTTGAGGTCACCTGAGACTGTATGCATCTATGACAATGCAGCCAACTAGTTCAGCCTTCATCCTCGCCGATACATATTTCTGCTTTACAGCATGCTGTCAGGAATGACTGGAATTGAGTGACCCCAATTGAGTGCTGATGGCTGTAATACAACCAATAAAGAAATCAAAACAAAGTTGTTCCTGTGCCTAGTGCAGCACTGCACTCAGAATATGTAGAGGGTGCAAATAAAATGAAGTCTATGAAAACATACAAAACAACTTCTGCCAGAAAATTCACCTTGTAAATACAGTTAACAGATAATTTTAAAATATTTAAGAATTTTAATGTGTTGGATGAATAACATTAAAAAAATATTTGGATTGGGAGTAAATTCTGGAAATTCTTGTCCTTTTTTAAAACCTATCTTGAATATTTCAGAACACCAAAACATTAAAATTAAGTAGCATGTTGAAAGAATACAAGTTGGTTGTGTTTATGGAGGTAAGTAAAAATACTTTCACTTCGGCGCATAAAAAGCTGCAGTCGCATTCCCTGTGGACATGAAATGGAAACTTCAGAAGGTAAGTTAGGTGCCCCATTCCTGAGACGCACACATCTACTGGTTGAATTTGCCCATAAAATTACATGTGCAGTAAATTTACAAATGTCATCAGAGCCTGATTGTTTGAGGAATCCTCTTTATGATCAGAATAAACGTAGAATAAATCACTACAAGACCATTTGTGTTACACGACTTAAAATGAATGGTTTGTATAAACCTCAAGACTGGATGTGTCAAACTGTTTAACCTGTACTGAATACAGCAGTCTTGATGAGCATTGGATGGATGATCCAGCATGACAAGTGTTACTTCAGTGGTAAGGCTTGTATGCACGAGAACATGGGTTCAAGTCCATGTGGAATGGGAGTAGAATAAAGTAACCAATCATCATGAAGGGGTGGGGCCAAGTTAATGTGCATGAAATTAATACTTAATTCACAATTTGCAGGTGCAGTAGGAAATGCAAACAAAACCATGTACTTTTTGTTCCAGTAACCTGCAACAACCTCCAAGAGCACAGCACTGCCGCAACCCCAAGCGTTCAGCCTGGGATTTGATGGTTTGGCTGCAGATGTAGCTGTATATCCGAAGAAAGGGATGCAGTGGCTAATCAGCATCAACGGTCAGAGCCAAGTT